AAGTGTTTTGATACTGAAATGAAATAAATAACCATTACATACATCTATTGTTTGTCATTATTTTCTTTCTAATATTGAAAAAAATATCTATTAAAAACAGGACTAGTATGCATAAAATATACATTGTATAGATGTGTAACCTTTTACTATAATACTTTAAAAAAAAGATGTTATTATTTATTTATTTTTATGGGGGGCCCTTTCGACTAGATGTATGAGGCCCTTTAAACTTTTTGAAGCGGCCATTTTGACTCTCTTGAGGCCCTTTTGACTTTTCCGTTTTGCTGCCCTTTTGTCATGCGGCCCTTTTGACGTGTTCCAATTTGCGTCATACCAGACCATCCTGGTACTGGTTTGGTCATCTTCCATGACATTTTGCACAACAGATCTAGTTGACAGGTTGGATCTTCAACATAAACATTATCAGCTCCCTGTGAAGGATTTCCTCAGTCCCATGTGACTGACTTTGAAATACCTGAGTGTCAATATTTTACTGGTTTCTGATGCTGTATTCCTGGTGTGATCCCTGCAATGACCATCCAGTGTTCTGATGGTGTGATTAACATTGTCCACCATAAACTGAAGAAAATGCCCAAGCGTACGTAGTAAAATCTCTTTTCCTTAGAGACTGCAGTGCTTGTTTCATACAGATGATGCACTGATCCATTATCTAAATCACAGAAAAATGATAACCTTATATTTTCCACACTGAAGGATCGAAATGTTGACTCATTCAATTACATTCACAATTAATACACTGCAGCGATGTTAGGTAAATAATTCTGACAAAAAGTTGCAAAGTTGCTTCTTGAACAGTTAGTGGGGCTTCCCATGTTTATAGACCCATATAAACATATTAGGAACAGTAAGAAGGATTTAGCATTCCGTAATAACAGATTTTTGAATTTTTTAGGCTAATTTCTTATTATCTTCAACAGAAAACACTGCTTTATACACGACAATTTGCTTTGAATTAACAAAGAAACTGTATACTTAACAGTTTCACTTTTAATCCACTTAATGAGATGGAATTTCCTGAAGTTTTCCCTTTAGGGCTATACGAAAATATCAATGTAATATCTTTATATGTCCATTTGACCTCATTTAGATCATTTTAAGTCAAAATAATTCAGTTCTCGAATTTAATTTACATAAATATTATCGAAAAATAATGTTTAAAATACCTATTATTTGATAAATTCACTTATTCTTGGTCAAATCTGTTAAAATGATGGGAGCGGAAGGTCACGGGTTCGATCCCTTACCGCGTCATGGTAAAATATGGTACTTGTTGGTCCCTGCCTGGCGCTCGGCATTAATGGGTACAACAAGGACTGGTCGGCTCGGAGTCAGTATAATGTGTCTGAGTGGGGTATTCATGCTTCTGTCAACGCGTGGTTATACGTCGACTGGGGAATTAGCTCATGTTTTAAGATGAAGTGTGCGTTGATGAAGACGAAGGCATAGTTGAGTTCGAACGTCTTTAGTACATGACAAACAAATACACAAGACATACATAAGGTGAGCGGAGTACCTGCTCAACCCCAGGGCGTTTCCAACGAGCGGCATTATCCTGCTCGTGGTCGTCCCAACGGACAGTCCAAATACCGAACTCGTACTCCTTCACTGTCTAGATGTGAGCATACTAAGTATATATACTGTTTTTGACAACAATAGACAGGCGACTACTCATCAATGGACAGACAGAAAAACAATAGCACTTCCTTGACAAGTTGATGTGATGGCAGACACGGCCAAGGGGGATTACCAATGAAGCTTATAAATGTCTTATACAATAATTAATGGGCTGACAAGTCAATGTACAATGTGGTAGTGATAAGGATGTACAGTAGTGATTAAAAATACAGCTTAGTGTCATATATATTTTACAATAAAGTCTCACATGTCTTGAGTACATAGTTTTGAACTTTTTAAATATTTGGACGATGGCTGTCCTAAATTAGTCCCTATAACAACTGCCCTCTGCTCCGTAAAGCTTGGACCCCAAGCTTAAATAAATTGAATCCAAACTGATAGGAGTGAAGCTATATAAATACCAACAGTTCAGATCAGTAAATAATCACTGAAGAACAATTCTTGATGTCGTTGAAATTCCGTGCAACAAATATGTCTATGCAATTACGGTATAAGAGTGATCATCTTGCCAGTCTGAATTATCAGAAAAATAATCAAATGATCGTTGTAATGTACATTTCACATCCAGGTATTTACTACTTTGGAAAATATCTTTGAAATCGGGAGGTGAGGCTCAGTACCAAATAATGACAATAATTAGCGTCATAAAAAGTACACATTAAACATCTCAGCAAATATTTCACATTAAGAAATTTGAAACCAGGAACTTTACCGCGCGACTCAGACGGTACTTGTGGGTACTGTTGCCCGTTTAAGTACGATGGGTGCTCTTCCCGTGTCTGTGACGGAGCTTGCCCATATAGAGTGGGTGCTATGCCCAATAAAAAATAATAATCCTACAAAGGATGCTATTCCTGTGTCATTGACAGAGCTTGCCCTTATATTGCGGCTGCTATGCCCAATGAAAAACATAAATAATCCTACTCAGACTTCAAAACTCTAAAATGCTGAACATTGCTTCGCTGTTAATGTCTTCTTAATACTGACATATAAAATACATGTATGTTTGTCGGTGGCTGGACCCAAGAATATCCCTATTCTGACTTCATTTACAGAAGTAATTTTGTGCACATTGTTCACACGCACTTAATACATTATGGTATAGACATAAGAAGGTAATAATGTACTGGCCTGTGATCTAACATACCTGGTAGCACCTATCAACAACAACACATTGTATATCCTGAACTGAGTCCATTTACGAACACACAGATAAGTAAGTCCTGATGAGTTCTGTTGTACACAGTGTCCATCTTGAAGATGTCCATGAGGTGGTTTCTGTATGAATACAGGATCTCCATATTGATGGCTGTGATCAGATCTCTGTGGGAGTGACATGTGTACTTGCTTGGACTGTGGTATCTGGGTATTTCATCCTTAACTTGTAGGTTGTCCATCAGGTGGTTGCTGTATGATGCTCCATTCAAGATGGCGGCATTGAGGATTTATGTTGATCAAGACACTTGCAATCTCTTCAAGTAGACGTAGAACTTGGGGAATCATCCTTGATACACAATGTTAATGGTAGGCACATAGAGAGGTTTCAGGATTGGGAGTAAGCTAAAAAGTTACTCTACCCGGATTCTCCACCAACTATTATGATAAGGGTCTGGTTGGGCGAATTAACTCAGCAAAGAGTCCGAAGTCACAAGAAACTAATCACAATTTTATTTACAAGAACGGAGTAACAGGGGGTAGCCACAGAGAGTCGGTACAACCCTCTGGGCTGAGGGCTAGAGCTGACCTGTGTTGGGAGTCTAAAACCCTACTGCTGGACAAATGCAGTTAAGAGACTTTTTATCTACAATTAAAACAATAAAGAGAGTACGATTGGTTCACAGATACAAAAATGGGTGTAACCTATATTAGCCTATCAAATACAGAATATACAAAATGGGGTGTGTCCTACTAATGACATGACCAGGCAGGGGAAGTACTCTTAATCCTGTTAATCCTATTTTAACTGGCACTAATCTCGATGGCACTTTTACTGGATGCTTGGATGCTTACCCTGGGCTAGATCTTAACGAGCCTAATCTGATGTGTCAATTATAGGTGCTTGGGTTACAATAGATGCGTTTACTCTGGGCCATGTCTTTATGACCCTTAATTGGTGTTTGCTTAAAGTTTTGTAATATAGATGATGACATGTTTACTTTATGAAAGCAGTTCATTTAATCATCTGGTCATAACTCTGAATTACTGAAAGGGTTGCTAACAGCTTGAGTCCTTGATACCTTAGGCTAGGATTTTATCTTGAACATCTGTGAAATTGTGCAGCCGTAATTTATACCTTTTTCAATAGTATGTCTGTGAGATGAGTTTTACAACTTTTGACTGGAGTCTTTCTCTAAGCTATCACTAATATTCTATATTTATATTTTCCTAATATCTGAATCCTAATATATTGCTTGTACAGGTAATAATGAATAATGAATTTTGTATGAATTATTATTCCATGATACTTCACTGCGGCATGGTATCTCAGTGGGCTAGCACTATAAAAACCAACTTAAGTCTGGGCTAATACAAGCAGCCGCACATACACACGCATGCACGTCGTCATATGAGCAAAACACTCTCAAGCACGACGTTCAACCCAATTTCACCTCACCTCATCTCATGTTAAAATGATGTAATCAGCATGGCCCTACTGGGCTTCCATAGCTGTTTTTCCTGACAGTGACGTTGCATTTCATGCCATCTTATTTTCTACATCATCAAATCATCTCTTTTTGATAAAACATACATGAATAATATGTTTTTAAAGGGTATTTTAGTTTCTGACTTAAATGATTGAAAAACCAGGAGTTTAAAGGTCTACCATTGCAAGGCAAAATGTTGCCGATGCCTTTAAGTAAATTAGGCTTTACATTTGTAAAATCATACCATATCTTTAAATAATGAGACAATGGATAAATTACTAGTATGTATAAAATAACTTACCTGAATTGATAGATGACTTGAAAAGCGCAAAAATAGCATGTTGATGCATGAACTTCTTTTGACCTCATGATGTAGCCTGTTTACCGTCAATCAAACAGAGTTGTCTCCCTTTTTTCCCCATGGTGGTTTGGTATCAATTTATTTTAACTATTTCTATTGTTTCTCCACCTTAGTTTTGTTAGACTTTGAATATATCATTTCGACAATGTCAATGAACATATATATGGCAAAATATATTCCTTTGCAATTTGTTTGAGGTTAAATCATAGATTGACCTGACTACTGTACCTCGGAAGAAAGGTGAGATAAGCAATAACGTATGAGTGAGGATAAGGTAAAATGCTTGAGAGTATTTGTGCTAAGAAAGCCTAGTCATACACTGCACTGTCATATGTTACCTTGACAGAAGACTTTTCTATGTAAGATGATGGCGCCCATCCATTGTGCCCATCTATCTCAACATACCACCAACCACCTTCAGCTTTCTCATGAACCTGAAATGTCAAGTTGCACAGATTTATTATTGCATGCATTAGAGTATTACATAACATAGGGCAATTTCTTTCTTCACATCATTCACACAACTCCACATTATTCCAATCCTGGCACAAAATATTGCGATATATTCCCACAACCAGGGTTAGGGTTCACATGCTGGTAACCTGGGTTAGGGTTCACATGCTGGTAACCAGGGTTAGGCTCACATGCTGGTAACCTGAACATGATTCCAACATGGGTAAGATTAACTCATTAAGGCCGAGGGCCGCATATATGGGGCAAATTAATCAGCTCCTCACAGCGAGTTACGTGTTTATGGGGCAGGTAATTGGCAGTTTCTCACAGCGAGAGCCACATATATTCGTCAACAGAAAGCACCTCTTATTCAGTGAGAGATGCACATGTGTGTCATACTTTTAAAAATCGCACTGTACCTATTATTTCAACCAATTTAGTAGAACTGAGCAAATATTAGATTTTCTTACGAGAGATGCATCCTTTAGTGTCAATCAGAAGAAGTATTTAAAGTGTTTTGATAGTAATTGCTAATCATTATCATAGGCTTATACAGCGTTTGGCAAATGAACACATGTCGGCGAGAAAGGGGATTATGATGTTTTTACAGAGGTAAGTGCCTGGCACTCTTCATTGGGAATGGATACTAAAATACTTCTTATGCACATTGATTGAATTAGATGTAATAGTTTAGAGGTTACTGAAGATTATATTTTCTTCAACTTCCTAATAAATAGGAAACAATATAAAAAAATTCAAGGACATACAAAGAATTCCAACACAATAGAATAGTTTGAATTTACTTTTTAGGTATTATTAAGTTGTCATGTTTCATAAAATGAAACATAATGTATAAACACAAATAATTATACATCCAAGCTCGAATAGATTAGACATAATTTAACTTACTCATTTAAAGCTCACTGAATTGTAACTAGTTATTTTCCATAATCTACAGCTGATTATGTTACCTAATCGAATATAAAGTGATAAGTCGCGCCTTTGCATCGAATATATATATACATGTCAGTGTTATTACAACAATGAAATGTTTTACTACGTTTGTTACAAAACACAGTAAGTTGGTAATTCAAAAAATTCTTACACATAGACAGAAGTAATATCATAAGTTATTACATGTAAACCATACAAACGTACCTCAAGCATTTCTGTTCAAGCTGTTGAAAGTTTCATGTTGATTTGAATTGTCAGTTTTCTATGCAATTTACATGAGCATTCTGTAAAACGTTTGTATTTGATCTGTGTAATTATCAAATCCGGTGTAATTATCACAGGTACCAATGAACTCAATCTCTATTGACCCATCGTCAATAAAGCTGGATAGTATATCAGTTACGTATCGATACGGTTCACTCCCAAAAGACAGACCTCCCATAAGACAGACTCAGTGAGTACACTAATTAGCTGAGCCATGCTGTCCACCCCTGTTTAATTAATGAGCTGACCCAGAGTCACTACAGAGTATAGTAACAACACAGTCCTATTTCCTGTGCCCTTCTCAAAACATATTACTACCGGTAGGTATGACATAAGGCAGAACATACCTGCTTAGTAAACTTACTCAATGGCATATACGTAGGTGAGTAAAATGACTGAAATACGCACATATTTGAAAGCAGTGGGTAACAGCAAAAGAAATACCCACTCAACATTCATAATACCCACTCCAAAAAAATACAGCGGGTACAGTACTCACATGAGCTAAATCTTATCTGGAGCTCTGATTCATGAACTGTTAAAGTGACATAGCAGTGTTGTTCAATTTCATTGTTCAAACATTGCAGTAAATTCACTGTTCAAATCCAATTAAATTCTGTAAGCAGCAAACAAGCATAAAAGGCTAATTTCAACTGGAATTCCCGAGTCTTCTACTATGTTCAAAGACATACATATTTTTCCACGTTTCATAACTATGGTTCAAGAGTCATCATCAAAATACAGTGCCAAGCACATTTTGTAAGCAACAAATAAGCATGACACACACATTCAAGGATAAAAAGGTTTTCTTCCACAACATTGTTTGATAGTTATGGTGCAAGAGTCATCATGTCATATTCAACTTTTCTCAACTTTTGTAAACAGTAAACAGTCATAAAAGGCCAATTTATACATACTAGACTCTGTCAGACTGTTAAGTTAGATAGTCTTCACTTTAGATCATATATCATTTACTGACTCTACACTTCATTCTACTGAACATGGTAGCTGCTTGCAGAAAGTCAAATTCATGAATGTTTGGCCCAACAAGCTTGATAAACATGAGTCGATTGAGCCTTGTTGTATTTAGTGTGTTTCTTGATTTGGTTTTGATGGAGTTTTGTACTGAAAATCCCCTCTCACATGGGGCTGATGACACAGGGATCACAAGAGCAATCTTGGCTAGTGTGACAAAGTCAGGAAACTGATCAGCGAAATCAGTGATTAACAGCTTCAAGAAACTGTCAAAGTTTAGAGAATTCTCATAAGAATTGACAAAATATTTGAAGTGCAAACAGTTTGCATTTGTTCTCTGTCTGTCCAGATTATAGTGGTCAATTAAACTACTGAGTTGATCCACTCCACAGTTCTGTAAATCACGAATGTCAGGATATCTCCTGGGATTTAACACTGTATCAAAACATTCAAGGATGTTTAATTCTTCATCTGGGAATCTCGTTTCTAAATTGTCCACAAGACAATTCAAATATCTCTCTCTGATCCCAATGAAACGATTTCTCACAGGTGCACTGTCAATCACATCAACTCCATTGTAGATGCTTTTCTCTCCTGCTGCTGGCACATTTCCCAGCTTTTGCATTACCTCATCCACCTTGCATGATCCAGTCTTCATCGCCATGAGCGTTGATTTTGTAGCTTCCACACTGTGTCTGATGTATGACAGGTTGACTGAATCCTTCTGAAATGTAACACTCAGCACACCGATGACAGTTAGGTCATCAATGAGAAGAGCCGTAATCAACAGAAACAGACTTTTTGTCAAGAACTTGTACAATGAATCTGATTTTCCCCCAGTCTTGTCAGAGTCTAGTGCCATTACAATGGCATCATGACTGTCAAACACCATCTTTACAGCCACTTCAACAAATAACCATCTGACTGAAGTTGGTTCTGTTATCTGTTTAGCCTTTCCATGTAGCAATGTTTGCAGTTCTCAGAGCTTGTCGTATCTGACTGGAGATTCAGCAAAAAATCGATACAAGGTGTGGATCATGTTGTGAAATTGCTCGCAGTACCCAATGCCCTTGGCTACCTGTGAAACTGCAAGGTTCAACCTGTGAGCTACACAGTGTACTTGAACTAAACGTGGGTTTCTTTGTTTCAGCTTAGCACCAAGTCCATTTAATCTTCCAGTCATGACTGCTGAGCCGTCTGTTCCAAGCCCATATATAAGCGATAAGTTCGCATCACTTACACCTTTTCTCCTCAGAAATGTAACAAGGGCACTCTCAACACCTAGCTGCAGTTCCATCAGTGATGTGTTCATTACCAAGAAATACAACTGTAGCCGATCCATTCTCAATAAACTTGATGTAAATAGCAAGTTTTTTTTCAACAGTTATGTCGCATGTTTCATCAAGCATGACACCAAAGTAATCACTGGAATTAATTTTCCTGATCAAATCCTCCTCCAAAACTGTTTCAATGCACTGCTCAAACTCCATGATCACTTGTGGTTTCTTGTAGAAGTTGTCACATTTGACCCCATTTAAAATTTGTAATTCCATGAAATCACCAAAAACATCTGAGGGAATATCACGTTTAGCCATCATATAGACAGTTCTAAGTTGCTTCACATAAGTTTGTAATCTCTCAGTTAACTCAGCGGTTGATTGTGAAATGGCATTCTTTCTCGCGATCTCTAACTGTGAGTTTAACTGCAGTTTCAGCACACTGTCGGTATGAGACGTCGTCATATGAGCGAAATATTCTCAAGCACGACGTTAAACCCAATTTCACCTCACCTCACCTCGGTATGAAACTTTGATTGTTGATGCCGAGTGAGAGTGGAATTTTGAAGATTGAAACAGCCTTCATCATTTGTGAAAGGATTACTGGCTTTTGCCCTGTTACAAAGTTCGCATTTCATTCCACCATCTTTAGTTTTTATTAGCCATGAATACTTCACAAGCCAATCATCATGGAAATTTCGTTTCCTAACTTTTCTTTGTGGAGAACTAGGTTCAGCTGATTTACTTGGTTCATCAGATTTACTTGGTTTATCAGATTGATCAGTGGAATCAGTGGACACGATTTTGAATAAATTAACTCTTGCTGTTGGCGTGAAACTAGGTTACGGAAAGGGACGAGTAGTTTGGGCGTGTCGTGAAATTCTTTTGGAAAGGGAGCTCACTCTACTTCAGTTTCGTTTTCAAGTGTCAGTCAAGTTTAGCTGGCAAGTTAGGTTAGTCGAACGAATGCATGCTTTATTTCCACTTTACAGTTATATCCATTAGAATTATTACTGATATTGTTTGTGTCCAAGAGGATGCAGGACGTTTTATTTTCGCGTACATCTCAAATTTTATTGCGGATTTTACGCAATATTAAATCCTGAAAGAATACATACATATGTTGATAAGGTATAAATGTACGAGCCGCCAAAGGTCGACAAGAGAAACTTGCAATAAAATTACATAAAACATTGCAATACATCATGTGTATTCACACCTGCTTTCTTTTAACTTGTATCTTTACGACACAATTAAACAACCAGAGCTTGTTTGTACGACTAGACAGTTTCCTGTCATCCCCGAAACCTGCCAGGGAACTCAGGTGTGAATAGCACTAATTAGCTCGCAACAGCAAGCCAGGCAATCAGCGAGGGGTTCGAGGTGTTGAGTAGTGAAGTGTCTCTCGGGCTTAATGAGTTAATACCTCATTGAGTATCCCACCTCCTTTGATTTCCTAGTCGACTCGTCCTTTGACATATTTCAACTTACTGGTTACACTACGCCTGTAC